ACAATGCTCACGTTTCCGTGCACATTGTTTTAGCCTCAATTTACGCCAATTTAGCCTCAATTTATCTCTGATAATCATTCTAGTAAATTTCAATTTCCATTCTAAATCAGCTACATTCATTTCACCATTCGATTTTCTTCCATTGATTTCACGTTTAAAAAATATGCCTGATAATAGCTTTAGTAATAAACAATTCTCAGTTGGAATGAGTTTAGTTCTATGATTTGTAATGAGATTTAAAAAAGAAGAACGAGAAGATCTTCATTGAATCGTCTCATAAATCTAAGTAATTGGGAAACAAGTCGACACGCCAGATCTTTAAGTTTATATTATCAACCCTGGTTCGTTAACATAGCATATGTAGTCAAAAGATTGAGTAATATGAAGTGATTAATTGAAGAGTTAGAGAAAATGCGTCAAGAGCTTGATTTTGCAAAGCATGAACTGAAGGCAGCCAAAACACCCGAATCAATCGAAGTGAAAAATACGTTTTATGAACAAATACTGTTACAATTTAAAGGACAGCTTGAAAAGGTTTCATTGCCTTCTCATATTATTTAAATTTCTTTACATCTGAGTTATGACTGACTATCTTTTAATATCGCCGCTGTCGTTATTATTATAAATTTTCTTAGTTATTACTATGATCACTGTCATTCTTACTGAAAAGATTATATCTTCTGTTGGTATTATATCTTATATCTTACTTAACTGATATGTATTATATCTTCATTAAGATCCTTATTTTACTTAGTATAACTGATATTACTTCTAATATCAGTTATAGTAAGGATTCATCACTGTCATGTTGCTTTGATCATCGTTGTGAGCGGATTCATCTTATTCGATCCATCCATTCCTATTGAGAACATAATTCACTATCTTAATGCGTGAGCGAATGCGTTTTGCGGTTGTTTTGATAAACTGAAAATCTTTGCAGGAAATAGTTTCCTTCATATTTCTTCATGACAATCGCTTAGCAATTGATAACATCTCTTTATCACTCGCGTATTTGATGATCTATTGACATAATTGATAAGAGAGTCTATCAATCGTCTTCTAAGCCACCATATGTGAACCATTTGAACAATGTTTCGTTCATTTACTTGTATGCTTCAGACAGAGGCCATGTTAAACGCTGTACCATCACAAAAAGAGACACATCGCAAAGAAGTTATCAAATTCTTTGAGGTTCATTTCACTTGTACACTTCAATGAATGTTCACATTTTATCAGTAGATACTCTGAAAATATTCAATATTGAATTTGGAATGCCTAATCGGAAATTACTGCAAATTCGTGATGAGTTTAAAATGGAATGTTTGAAGAAGTTTCATTCCATTTTCAGATATTGCAAAAATATTATGAAGATTGTGCAACCGCAGCAACAATTAAATAGAATTTCATTAGAGGTGGTGTGCAATTGTTGGTTGTAAATAGCATGCGAAAGATTCGTCGTTCGTTGTGAAAGTGAAAATTCAAAAACAATTTCAGTGAAAAAATCTGATCATTTTGCTTGTTAACTTGTGGAAATTTTCGTGATATTTTATTGTAAACTCCATTTGAAACCGTCACTCTAAACTATATAGTGTACTATATTCGGAGATTTGCATTCACAATACAATACATAACATTGTTTATTAGATCGTAATATGACAGGTATCATCCATATACAACTTCCTTGCAAGATGCTAATTAAATAAAAAATTCGTTTGTTGCGTTCATCGAACGCAAAATGATCGTTGCTCAATTGAGAAATGTTTTCATCAATTTTACATATCTCATTTCTAACAATCCTCAAATTTTTTTGGAAATTCATTTTCTTTCATAGGCTTTCTCTTTAAAACGCACAATTCAAAAAATCCATCGCACATTA